TAATAATGCTGGTGCACTATTAGCAAGCTAGTTGTTGTCAGCAGTGGTGTGAAATTTGTGAAACACGCTTATACTGTAATAGCCTGATTCATCAGCCGTTTTTTCTTCGTTTCATTTCGTATAAACCATCTGACCTCGCAGCCTTAGAATTCGTTCGGCGGGTACTTTTTATCATTTAACCAGTCGCTGCTATTTGGTCGTGTCGTATGTAATGCTCCTCTAATGGGGCTAACTGATGTATTAAACTTTTCCCAAATCCAGCAGGAAAAAGGGCAATAATGTCTTTTCCCTTGATGAAATTCACCAAACATTTTCTTTGTTTCGGCTTTAAATCCTCGATCTCGAGAATCATTGACAACACTAAATATATCACTCTTCGTTGATTGACTGGTACCCAGACTTGCACTTCCGGGCTTTTTCCAAATCCTCTAGTGTATTTTGATTCCTGACCTAGTTGCTGGAGAGAAATTAAATTGAGGCACTAGGTGGCGCCAGCTTGGCTAACACTGTAAACTGGTCAAGGTAAATAATTAACAATATAAAAGTGAGAAATTCGGCTGCTGCAAACGGTTAAAAAAAACTACAGCACAGTTCAAAAAATAAATCTTCAGTTTGTAATACAGCTGCAAAGTTACTGACCAAAATAATCTTGTCCTATTTGGATCAGTTTGATGATAACTTTGATTTAGAGATAATCGCCACATTGGTTTCCAATATGGACAGGCACACATATCCAAGTACAGACTGAATTTTGGAACTGAAAAGATGGATTGTGGGCCCATCTGTTGCTAAGAAATTATCAATTGAACAAATGGTCCTTTATTAGTCCACTAAGCCACTGATAGTAGATTTATATGAGATAGACAACATCACTGCAGTGCATACGATTTTCATTATAAGTATGTATAACTTTTCTGGTGGAGGATCTGCCATCTGCACGTCCACATGGTGCTTGCATGGGATGTTCCACAGTATGGCATTAAAAATATATATATCTTATATTTATTTGATTACATGTGTTTTATTTCTGAAAACTTCTGCAAATGCACATTATTACTGTGAGCAGGTCCATTTCTCCACATATCTCATTTGTAACTTGGCCTGGTGATGTGGGCTGCTTGTCTCTATGGAGATAGCAATAATGTAGACCATTTGAGCAACAGGAGTCAAGCAATTGGTGGACCCTGTACCAGAAAAGTTACACAGTGCACCTTTAAAATGATCTGTATTTTTAGCTTTACTCCCCCCGGTTGTGCTAACATTTGTGCTCCATGTATTTTGACACATTCCCTTCAGCTGCTCCTCAGTCCAGTCCACACTCTGTCTCACTCACTTCAACACACCCACAGTGTAAAGTGCCTGTGCCTCTGGTCCCCTCATGGTCCAGCCCCTCCCAGACCAGCTGCTCTGGACCCTCTCTCAGCTCTGTTAAACCAGGACACTGGCCATCAGGGCGCAGGCATTCCTCTCACATCATGTATTTTTGGCACCAATGTGAACATGTTTCTTTGGCTCAGGGTAGCACAGTCATGAATAAAAAAGGTAAAAGAACATACGATTCATAGATTATGTAGAAGTGTGAATAGGATTAATTCATTGATGGGATGCAAATACTGTCATTAACTTTAAATGACATGAGTTGAAGGTTAGTTAAAGGTAGGGTAGGCTTCAGTCTCAATTGAACCTGGGTGGACAGTGCCTAAACTTGCAAATAGAGGACACATACACATTTTTCTCAGTATATGGAAACTTCCAGAATTCACTCACTAAACTTCAGAAACTGCATTAGCACTGATTAAACTGCAGATGTTGGGGCTTAGGTAGTGAAGATTCAAATCAGAGTTTAAACCCAGAGACGGTGCTATCATTAGGCACGAGTAGGAGGCAGTCTAGGGCCCCGAACCTGCAGGGGCCCCCCAACCAATTGCCTTCAGTGCCACTAATGGCCGAGGCCTCAGAGCAATTAGATTTTCTCCCAATATGACATTAAATTAGAGCATTTTACTTTAAAACAAAAAATACACCACCAAAATAGTATCTGATTGTCAAATCTATTTAAACTGCCAAAGCAATCCCCCCTTTCACGTTAAAATGGATGAGTCAGCTTCACCGTGATTTGAACATAATCATAATCATATGTAATGGGTGTAAACCAAAATGTAATTGTACCAGCAAAAAATAAAACTACTCTGGTTATCTAGTAGGTGACCGAACTAATAAGACAAGTTTCCTATCCACCATAATTCAAATAAATAGAGATGTGCATGCTCAAGAACAATGGGGAAAAACAGACAATAATTATTTAAAAACACACACATACAAAAAGAGGGCATTATAATGAGGGCCCCAAACTCAAGTTTGCCGAGGGCCCCCAAATTGTTAACTCCTCCACTGTTTAAACCATCTGGATTTGAACACTGAAACTGGCAACCCAAATGAGAGACAAATGTGAGGCTTTTTCTGCTTTCTGATTGGATAATTGTGAAAAAAAAAAAAAAAAAACACACCAAATTATACCAAACACTTGAACCATCATTATACCAAACAACTTGACCATCATGACAAATGTTTTAATCAACAGAGTAAACCATTATTGTAAGTAATATAAGTAAGAGCAATATTTGATTTTAACATGTTTAACTCGGATCTGGGGACACAGATCCTGATGTTACCTCATGAAACCATACCCGGAGGTTTGTTTAGTGTCATTCACACAAAACAAAACTTTATTATTAGTTGGTCTACAGCTCCAAACCTCAAAATGCTCTGTTCCACCTTGTGATGTCATGAAGCATTTTTTTCAAGGTAACAGCTCTGTTTACCTTTTGTTCAGGGAGATTAGTCATTTCAAATGATTCTAGTGACATGTATGGAGTTTAAAAACCAATGGAGCACTTCCTGTATAACCATATGACATGACAAGATAAAGCAGAGTGAGAAGAACCTAAATATGCAGGGTTTGAGTGTTAAACATGTTATGAGTAAGGATGTAACGATATCCAAATCTCTCGGTACAATATCATGATATGCATCTCACAGTACGATATTTATTGCGATATTTTGGAGTGGCTGATATAATTGTTGATAGGACTCTTTTTTGCCTTTAAAATACAAATTTGGTGTTAATTATTAAATGACATTTCTTTATGTTGTCTGTGCTGAAATGAATCATGGGATATGTAGTTCCCAACGTTTATTAGCTATTGCAGCTGTAAAACAATTCATTTAAGCAAAGAAACTTGTGATTTGACGTATTGTGATGCCCCACGATATTATTATGAGACATTTGACGATATGATATCACGATATTTCAGTTATTATTACATCCCTAGTTATGAGGAAATAACATTATGACATCCTTTAAATTACAATCAGCTACAGCACCTTTAAGATTTTGTTCCCAATGGTAGCCACATTCATTCCTCCTCTGATATTATTTTGAAATGGCATTTGAGCTGCAAACAACTTAAGCTCATGAAATCTCACATTTACCGCTGTCCCGTACATTGCTGCACTTCGCTGTTGTCGGGTGTGAACCATTATCACCTCTGGCTTTGTGTATGCGTCGCCGTGGAAACTCCGGACGTGTGAATTCACTGGAGTAGATGCGTGTTTGACATAGTGCGCCGACTTGAGATTATTTTAAGGAAGTGGGTCCTTATCAGAGACAGGGTGGGGAGAGGAGGGTGTGAGAAAAACAACGCTTCCTTTTGCACTTTTGACTTTACACTTTATGGACTTTGAGGTTAAAGATCCACAAACTAAACTAGCCCATTGTGGGATTTAAAGTCATTTGTGCAGAAGTAGGTGAGGTGAGTTTACAATATTGGTCATCTAGACATTTCAGTCAGTCTTAAACCAAGGGAAATTAAAAGATGCTAAATACTAAACATGGTGTTCATTTCTAAGTATTCTGACTCTAGTAATAATGACTGAGAAGCTTATCAGGTCTTTTGTTTACTTTTTTTAATCTTGCTCAGGCTTATTCTCGCTCATTCTATGGACATTTAACACAGCTCCCAATAACATTGAGTTTTTGACATTCATCGTTTTGTATTGATATTGATATTGATTGTACATATTTACCTAAAAAAATAATGTAGGAAAGTGTTGAGCTATCACATTTAACATTATTTTACATTTTCTTGTTTTATGTTGATCCAAACCAAATAATTTGAGTTTTAACATAATCTCAAAACATATACATTCATTTAACTAAAAATTTTGAAATGGAAAATTTTTTTGAGTGTATGACTTTTACATGTTGAAAATACCTTACAATATAGGGTACCGTATATTCTGCCTGTCCAGTTATATTAACTAAATACAAAATTTTAACAGTTAAAAATAATATTAAGTAATTTGTCAAGTTAAAATAAATATTTCTACTGAATAATATCTATATGATTTAATACCTCTGTCATCCAGGCGTGTTCAAAGTAGTAAGTGCAAATTTTGGTATTCATCAGTCGGTTTCACAGCATTAGGATTCGTTCTCTCGAAGGTAGGCGGGTACTTTTTTTATTTAACCAATTGCTGCTATTTTTTGTGACGTATGTAATCGCCATTAACGGGGCTAACTGGTATAACAAGCTTTTCCCAAATCCCGTACGAAGAAGAGCAATAACGTCTTTCCGCTTGATAAAATTCACCAAACATTCTCTTTGTTCCGGCTTTAAATTGCGAACCCTCTAGTGTATTCCGAATTTCTGACCTAGTTGCTGGAGAGAAATGAAATTGAGTGGAGGCACTAGGTGGCGCCAGCCTGGCTAATCTTTATTCATCCTGCAACAGAAGTGCACTAGTTACAATATAGGGCTTATTGGGCAATTTCACTTAAGGCATGTTTTGAGCTTGCACTAAATTAATCTTGAGGACATTGCTTTATATTTTAACTCTGAGAAAAGAATGTCGGGATTTTTTTTGTTTTTTTTTTGGTGCAAATTAGAAAACAAAACACCCTCATATTCTTTATTTAATTCTGCTCTTATGTTTTGCAGTCTGCAGAGTTCTTCGACATGCTGGAGAGGATGCAGGTAAGAGAGGCCATTTCCACTGTCTCTGTATCTCTTATGTAATTTGACCTTCCAATCTCACATTCAAAATTAATATTGCATTCATTATAGCACACAGATTCAATATTTAACTGAGTATGTGTTTGTATTTCTGTTCAGATAATAAAACAAGGTCATATGCAAACTGAAAAAGAGCCCTTAGTCCTCAGATGAAAATCTCCCAGTGATATTTATTCACTGGATTCTAACTGAGGATTTAGTCAGTAGTAAGCAGATATTGCCTTAATAATAACAGAGGTTGTGGGTTAAATTCTTGTACAAACCGACTTCCTGATTCTAAATTAGAGAATTAGGGAGTTTCTATAAAGAATCTATACTGGGGATATTGGTTGGAGTTACAGTATATTTGCCAAACTACAACAGTGCATGTGATTCCTAAACAGGCACAATTACCTTTTATAAAATCATAATTATTAGTTTACAAAACTTAACAATATTACCATTAAAACTGTGATATTTTATTCCATTGACAATAGTGAATAAATGTGAGAGTGAATGGTCATTTGTTATCATAGACTTTACCAAACATGAAGTCTCTTAGCAGTACGTTACATAAAACTGTAAACATACTGTCAGTTCAAAATATGACTATATAACTTTTTGGTGAAGAGTTTAAAACTGTCTGTATGGGCTTATGTTATTGCTTTGCCTAGAATGTACCAGTCTCCATGGAGACAAGCTGGTGATGCCACCAAGTTACAGGTTATATCAGTGGGTGGGCAAGCCAACTCACATATGTTATTAGGTTCTTTTTTCAGACCAAGAGTCTGGTCTGAAAAAAGAACCTAATAACATAAATTAACGGAAGACAAAATGAACCTCATTGGACTATTAAGCCAACTCACAGTAAGGATTTATGTTTTAGAGCAACAACAACACCAGAACATGAATAAATGCAAGATAGAGAAGTTTAATGCCATATCATGCAAAGCAATTACATCTCCATGGAGATGGGTGGTAGACCCTCCAACAGAAAAGTCACAGAGGGCACCTTTAAAGTACATTCTACAGCCAGCTCCATAAAGTTTTTAAATATAAAAAATACATTCAGAGATGAGAGGTGCATTGTGTTTTGTGGCGGATCCATCAAATGCTTTGTTTGATGGAGATGTTATTGCTTTGTCTGGAATGTTTCACAGTATGGCATTAAACCTTTCTATCTTCATGGAGACCAATGGAGACCACGTTAGGGGTCAGACCCGCTCACAGTCATAATGTCTGTTTTTCTAGATATTTTTGAGCTATAAAAACCACCTATACATTAATAAATGTAAGGTAGAGCTGTTTAAAGCCATACCTTGAAACATTTCAGACAAAACAATGACCTATCCATAGAAACAAGCAGGTGATGGATCTTCATAATGATGTTTTAAAGGCTTTTACAAGGTCAGTGTTAAATTGAAGTCCTACATTTGATCAAAACTCAACTAAGATTTCTTTTAGGTTGCACAAAATGAATGACTTCCTGAAATTAGGGCTATTTTCCTTTTCTTCCGAGAGTTTTCATAAAATATTAACCGTTTGTGGTTGTGCCTCTGTCCATCAGACTTCACATAGCCGAATCAGACATTGGTAATTTAATAAGTGCGGGCCAATACCCAGCGTCCAATTTGTGGCCATATTCAATAATGCTTTGCTGTGGTCATATAGGAGACCGCTGCTGCAAAACTGGATCACTCCAACTATTTTCTTCATCGCTGAAAAGAACGCATTGATTTTCTGTCCCTTGTAGAAAGTCGGTCTCTCCGCATGCAGCCACTTTGTGCCCTCTATCGGCCCCTGGAGCTTTGGACCTTGAATTGCGCGGATGGGAATTTTAAAAACAGGAGGAGGTGGGCTGCAAAATGGGGCAGAGAAAACCAGGAAAATATGAAGCCATGAACAGATTTTAGAGGCATTTTCACAACAATTGTGAAAAATGTTGAGATGGAGGTTACTATAGGACATACTGAACAGAAAGTAAGAAATAATAGCTACTTCCTTTGAGTAATAAACTGGCAAATAAGTATTTTGAGAAAATGGTAAGACACAGAAATTATGGGTTTCTGGATAAGGTTAAAAATAAGTGAAAATGAAGAAGTGTACTTTTGTTTTAAAGGTCTAACATTACACAAAATTGACTTGTGAGCTTTGAACCATGTTATAATGTTGTTACCTCCTCAAAAACATACTCAGAGTTGTGTTTTGTTTCATTCACATGTTTGAGTGACCCTTTATTATTATTCTGTCTACAGCTAAAAAACTCAGAATGCTCTGCACCACCTTGTGATGTCGTGAAGCATCAGTTTTTAAGTTAACAGCTACCTTTTACCTTTAGTTGAATAGAAATTGGCAATATTCACACTACATCACAATCCAGGAAGATGTTTGGAAAAATGCAATGACAACTTCCAGTGTAGTTACCAACACTGGGCTCGCCGAACGACTGTGATAAAATCTACTGAAGTAAATGTCATCAGCGGAAAATTAAGACTGTAAATATATGTGCTGCTTGGAATCATCTTCAATTTGGCCCCTCATGACTTCTAATTGCATGAATCCAGTGCACTCGGAGTTGTGTTGAAGTATGGTTGTAATTGTTGATTAGCCAAACGTAACAGAATTCTTCAATGACATGGAGATGAAAAAAACTGGTGTCCTGATTCATCAGCCAGTTTTACTTAGTGGAAACCATCTGACCTTGCAGCATTAGGATTTGTTCACTCTACGGTAGGCAGGTACTTCTTTTTATTTAAACAATTGCTGCTATTTGTTCGTGATGTATGTAATGCGCCAAATCCCATAGGAAGAAGGGCAATAACATCTTTCCCTTGATAAAATACACCAAACATTCACTTTGAGGATTTAAAGCCGGAACAATCTTGGGAATCATTGCCAACACAGAATGTGTGTGGTGCGCAGTCTACAACTTCCGGGGTTCTTGCAAACCATCTAGTGTATTCCAATTCCTGACCTAGTTGCTGGATTGAGCGGAGACACTAGGGGGCACCAGCCTGTGCCATTTTTTAAATTTTTCCTAGAGCAGGGCCTGCCAGAAGTTGTAGTCGCATCTTTTCAACCATTTTCCTGGTTTGTGACGTAAGCATGAATGGACCTTATACCAGACCTCAAATGATTCTTTTAGTGTTAGTCGTGTGGAATTTAAAAACACAGTGGAGCACTTCCTGTATTGCCAAATGACATCACAAGGTGGAATACAGTTTTCTGTTTGAGAAATATATGTGCAGGATTTGTGTGTTAAACATTCGTGAATCAAACAAAACACAACATTATAACTTAGATCACAAAATAGTGTAATCTAGGCCCTGTAAATAATAGCAGTAGTCAAATTAAAGCTGTATTCATTCTCCTTATGTTAGTTCTGCTTTGAAAGTCAGTGCTCCACAGACACAGAGACGTGCAGCTGTGAGCCCTCACCACTGCACCAGATGTAAACTCACAGCTGGAAATCACTTCACCAAATGAAGACTTGATCAAATCTCAGCCCTGTATTCTTCATTAGGCCTAATCACCGGGTGTAAAATTAACAGTCTTTGTTGTGGTGCCAGAGACTGCATCAGTGAGCAGTGTGTGAGCGTGACAGTGTTTTCAGTATCCATACTGCCCTACAAAGACAGAAGAACGCCGTAACATCATGTTTGGTCAAAAATTTGTTAGTGATTTTGGGGGTATTTGAGACCTCTTTTATCATGTGAATAAATATTATGAAAAATATTGAGCTCAAAATTTACCTTTGACCCTTATTTGGCAGTTGCTGTACTGACTTTGTATCATGTGCCAAAAATAAGTAGTCGTGCAAAGACAAAAGGCAGGAACAGTGTTTGTTTTGTTTGTAGTTTAGTTAATGAATTATTTTATTTTAAAATCCAACCTCTTGCCTCATTTTTGTTGCGGCCTTGGAACAGTGTCTTAACACGTCCAATAAATAAACCTTTGTATTTAACTATACTTAAATTATCTTTAATGATAATGAACGTTTTGTATATTTAAAAAAAGTAACTTGTGTGTCAAACTGTTTAACTGTGTAAGTGTTGCCGCACCATCCTGAGCTGCACTAAATAGGAAATCCAAAGTTCTTCTATATCATTTCAAACAAACTCCATGATGACTAGACCTTGGTGGGGTGTTTTTCTTAAAATGGATGGAAGTCTGGGGAAAACCAAGCAAATACTGATCATGTCAGTTACTGCCTTTTACCTTTGCACAACTCCTTATTTTTGGCTCATGATACAAAGGAGTACAGGAACTCCCAAATAAGGGTCAAAGGTCAATTTTGAGCTCAATTTTTTCGCAAAAATACAAATATTTCTTCATTATAGTAACTGGTTGTCAAATTTTGGGAGCCCTAACTATTATACTTTTGTCTGGACCAAACAAAAACTTTGAAGTCATTTTCTCAATTTTATTCAGTTTGACACTCTGGCGGGTTAAGGTCTTTTGTCTTTGTAGGGCACTATTGTACATTCATATTATTATTAAAGGGCTCATATCATGCTGTTTTCTTTTTGTTACAACATGGCTTAAAGCTCTCAATAGTACATTTTGTGAAAGATAGGACCTTTAAGAGTTAGATAGAAGTAAACAAAAGACCCGTAGGTTATTATATTGGCAAATTCAGTTCAGTCACAATTCTTTCATTAGCATTTAGGCTTTATTCATGCTTACATCACAAACCAGAAAGATGTTTGGAAAGATGCAATCACAACTTCCAGTGGGACAAAATTTAGGAAAAATGAGAAAACGGCCCAGTTTTCTTCATCTTCATGTCATTGTGACGTTCTGTTATGTTCGGCAAATCAACAGTTACAACCATACCTCAGTTTTCATCATTTCCTCACTGACGCACAACTCCGAGCGCACTGGGTACATGCGCTTAGAAGAGATAACGGCGCCAAATTCAAGATGATTTTAAACAGCACATACATATGCAGTTTTCATTTTACCACTGATCACATTTACTT